ATTAACGTTCTATGATGTTTGTGGAAATATTTCTGTCCTTTTGACTGAAATACTTTCCATAACCATGTGATCTTTCTACTCGTTTAACATTAACAAAAATGTTGTGTAAATACATCAGCTCAACTATGCCTTCTCTGATTTTTGACTAAGAGAAAAAGTTTAGTAACTCTGAATTTTTTACATATTTTGTGTTATCTAATCACTATTAGCTTTACAAACATTAGATAATGCATGCCCTTATCGTATACATCCAGCAGCAATTATTATTATCATTGAACCAACAGCAAGGCTCGTATTTACTTAATAATATGTCAGATAGTAAAACTGCTCTTGCTATACTCGTACATATAATTTAAAGAATAGACATTTAGTCATTTCATGATTCTTCGATGTTACACAAGAAATTAGTCAATGTCTAACTCACTGAATCACTCTATTAAACTTATACTAAAAACCAACTAAAATCATTATCTGACTTTACTTCAGATCAATGGCATTTAAATAGTATGTCCATACAAAACGTTTTAATAAAAATAGCCTCATTATTAAAACGACTTTTAAAATTGCATGGATAATTGGTGATTTTTGTCACGCAAACCATCATTTTATTTTTTTTATATGACAGTGAAAAGTGCAAGATATGTATTTGGAACTAAGATGCCATTTTAAGTCATACGAAACTAATACATTTTCACATGACATGATATAATAAATAATATATGATATAATGAGTAAGGATATACTAAGAGTATCCTAACGCACCACATCGGGGGAGAAAGGGATTGTTAGTAATGGGGTTTCTGATGTATTCATTCAATGTTTAGACTGTAAGCTCCCCGCTCTAGACACTCCTCTGGGTGACGTCCGGGCGGGTGGTCGTGTGAGTCGCATTGTGACATATTATAGTTTATTATTTTCTACACCTACCTACCACACCAGTAGGACATCACAGGGTCTTATTAGACCTTGCCCATTGTGAAGAATTTGGAGCTATTGCTCCAAATTCTTCACAATAGGCTAACTGACCTGCTTTCATCCTGACCTATCATCTCTCACTAGTCCCGTCAGCGTATACCGATGGCACAGGCGAGGTTGTCTATTTTATTATCAAATTATATATATTATTATATTATATTACCCATTAATAAACAAAATTAATAAAATGTACGACATCGAGACAACAGCTTTACACAGTAAGTTCAATATTATGTAAAAAAAGTCAACGATCATGAGTTCTATCCTCGCCGGTGCATAAGTTGACCGGCGTGACTATGATTTTTGCTCCTGAAATTATAGCTCTTGTCTTAATTTGTACCAAAAACCAATCGTTAATCCAAATTTTAAGCAATATTTATTTGTACCATATAAGTAAATAAATATTAATAAATACCTCGATATAAGATTGCGAAAACTTTAAACGACTTCTAAATTGGTTTTCAATACTCATTAGAGTTTTTTATGTTATTCGGCAATTAGGAATGACTCTCTGACCTTTTCATATGAGCTTATTCATTACATTCGACAGACTCTAGATTATAACATCCGTTTCACATTTGCGTACTGCAACAATTATAAGTTTACGGTGATGAATTTAGATTTTGGTAAATTTCAACCTTCTTCCCTTGGTATAGAGTTTATGTACAGATTTGAAACGAATAAAGAGTCCGTTGTTGAAACACACAAATGGTTTTGTCAAGGCCACATCTTATCTGAGTATTTGTTAACAGAGTCACCGACATAGCTTGGGTTGGGAGCTTCAAGCACAGATCGTCTTTCTACAAAATAGCTGACATATGTAGATATATTAGACGGGTGTTACTTAAGTTTCAAGTTACAATGTGTAGCTTTTTCCTGATAAGAATGACAACAATTATAAATTAATAACCGACGAACTTACATCCATGACTTCAACACTGCAGTTATCACTAGTCACCTAAAAGTACTATATTTAAGCAAAATATATAGTAGTCAAGGAAAACAAATATTCTACTAAAAGTTATTATAAGTGCGAAAGTTTGTAAATGTGTTTGGATATTGGTTACTCAATCATGTTTAAAAGATATCCATAGGTACCTACTTCTCAGAAAAATGAATCATGCGTGTTTATTACTTTGCATCGAGTCTATATACCTATCTTACATTTTTTTGCATTATTAAGGCGTTAACTTGTATGATACTACACAGTTTTTCCCGCCACTTTGTCCTCGTGGTCGAAATATGTCGATTGATCATCATTGATTATTGATCAGATGTGTTCATTGATGAAATTAGTCTAAAGTTAGCTATGTAAATTGATATTTAAAATTTTCCTTCGTGCCACAGTGTATTATGCATTAATCACTTAATCTAGGAGATGAAAATTAGGTGAAGAATAAGTTCAATTTTATTATTATAATAAAATTCTTTTAATAAAAAAACGGGCTTTTTCAGGCAGAAAAACCTGTGACACTGCGACCTATGATCTTTTGTACTTGCCCTTTTTTAAATTTCGCTGCTAATTACTATCAATAATAGGAATTTTAAGATGTTTTTTTGTAGCGATATTGTTTATCTCTTTAGAATATATGTATAGTGTGTTTTCGAAGGGAGATATATCGTTTATGTATGAGTGAGCTACAGCCACACATTAAGTGCTGCGATGTTTCTTCTTCATTAAATTATTTTACACATTGAACTTATTCATCACTAGCGTTTTGTTTATTTCTACGTACACGTGGATTTCAAAAATATAAAATCAATAAAATGATCGCTTCTTGGTGACGTATCAAAATAAAACATACACCAGTTTTAAGTTAAACCTTCAGGAATACAACTATGAACATTGCATTCAATTACGTGCTAAATACACGCGCGGGAGAAACATACAGACAAACAATTTTTAATAGTTATTATTTTGGCTTCTATTGCTCTTAAGAAGCCCCATATAAATTTTTCTTAAATACTTCCACGTACAGACATAATATAATTAGAATTTTTATTATGTTATGCTACTGTATTCTATTTGAATTATTTATTTATTTATTTACAAGAAACATGTTAAGTATATAGATGTTACAATAAGTATAAGTCCTCATATTTCGCCATAATTAGGCATCCAAATATTAAAACTTAAAAAGAATAAATGTTAAATAAGTCATTAAAATTCGAAATGTTATATAAAAAAAATACATCAAAAATGTAAGGCACTTGTCAACAACAAAAAAGAAAGAAATGTCACTGTTTATATGTCATTGTTTATTTTAATATTTCTGGTGCAATAAAAAGCTAAATAAATATGTTAATAAGATTATTGTCTGAAAACATCTGAGAGAAATACCACGAATAGGCGTTACATTCATGGAGCTGTTTAAAGTTACAGAGCATAGACAACGGTTGCCCGGTTTCATCAGGCGGGCCGTCAAGTTCAGTAGTGCTCATAAATATACAAATTTTAATATCGTGCTATTTTTTAATTAGATTGATCTTGTTTGCAAAATCTAAAATGTGGTTATTTGCATCTATACTTGTCTTATAAGAAAAGGTATAAATTTTATATTGTACGTTCGGAACTTTACGAAATAGTCATACGTAAATCAACTTACCTCTAAGAGAATTTTCTACGTGTGTATATAGGAAAGAACATCAATGCTCGTGTGGAAGGTATTAAATACAATAGGTCCTCATGGCATTTTCTGACTTCATATAAATGATAAAAAAAAAATTTATGCAACATAGAATGGCAAACAAGATGACAGTCCACCTGATGGAAAGTGGTAACTGTCGTCTATAGATATGAGCAGTATCATGGACATAACAGAGTATACTGTTTCGCCCATGATACCCCCCATGCGTTGTCATTCCTGAAGACTCAGGTGTTATTCCTCTGTACCATGTAAATTCACTGTCATATTTCACTCTTCAATCCGAAACACAGCCACGCAAACAACTGCTTCACGGTAGAAACACGAATGGGATAAAGGTGCAAACGCAAGAAAACGACTTTTGTACAAAGTCCTCTGATAAATAAGATGGATTACTTTTTCCACCCTAATTCATTGCACTCAATCGGACTGGCTCCATTTTTTCCCTTTAGACTGACGTAGTAGAAACTCGTTTAGACGTCTAATTATCATTATCATCAGGTTTTAATATTAAATATTGATACAAATTATTTGTTTCACTATTCTTAAATACTGATTACTGTCCGTGGCAAATCGAGCCGCTCGTTTATGACAGTATCAGTCGGATATTGGACTTGTACCTCATAGACAACATTAGATAACTGGTTTTCTTAAACCGATTTTATAAGTATACATTTAATTTCATTTTAATATAATATACATATTCCATAGTCATTATCACTGTGGTCATACTTGTATTGCCTTATAATTGCTATGTAAACATTTTGCCAGAAATTTTATTAAGGTTTACAAAAAAAGGTAAAAAAAAATTATTATAATGTAAATAAGAATTGAAATTATTACGATATTTAGTCAAAAAAAATACCTACTTAAATTATTTTAATTAAAATATTCATTTTATACATATTTAACAACGTAATTGGAATTTTGTTATAGTCAAACACCACTTTATTTTCTTTTTAAAATCAAAAACTAACTTTAATTAGTTAACAACTTTTTTTTTCTACAAGAAAAATTCGAGTTAATATTTCATAGAAAACCAATTATCCAATTTTAGAGAAACAAACAGATTATTGGCCGTGTGGTCCCGGTATAGAATAGGCCACCCCTTCCTTTTCCGTGAGTGTCGTAAGACTAAGCAGACTAAGGGAGGGCAAGGAATGGACTGCATCGTCGCATTTGAAACATCTCTCAAACCTAACTGCGGTTGCCTATCCGCTTGCCAAACGTGGTAATTATTAGCATAAACGGCCAAGGGGGAGGCTTATGTTTAGCAGTGGACCGTTAAGGGCTGATATGATGATAATGATGAAGCAGGATATTCGCTAGTGCGCCTATTTTCGGTTGGGTTGTAATAGGTAAAAAAAATAAAAAGCAAAATTAAACATATTTTGACTATAATTCAATAAGAATGATGCGAGAAAATAAAGAAAACTTACAAGAAAAATGTCAAAAACAAGCTTCTGCTTAATATTTTGTCCACAAAAGAATACGTAAGTAATAGTCATTTTTTTTTTGAAAAACTACTTATAATTGGAATTAAATTAAAAAATTAAATACTTAATTGTAACGTCGTACATAGGTACTTAAGTTTTAACCTAATGTTTGTATTATTATATGACTGACATGATATATTACTAACATTAAGACAAATTATACTTCGTAAATGTTGTTTTAAATATAAAAGAAATTAAATAAATTGGCTTAAATGGTTTACATTATGTAATGAACTGATAATAAATAATTTTCGTATGTTTTATGAAAACACTTAATACTAACTAGCTCCTTAAAATTAGGTACAAAATTATTAGTTTCATGGTCATCCATCATGCAACGACTAAGAAATAAAAAAAAAAAAAAAAACTGAAACTAAATTATAAAAACAAAAACAAAATACACCGTCTCGGCTATATGGACATGTCAATTAAACACAAACCAATAATGGTCAAACGTTTTATTTATTTAATATTATATTATAAAATCGTAGATCTGTTACAAGGTATAACAAAATATATTTAAACGGTGCGAAAACAATACAGTGTTTGACCGTTTATGAATTTGTCATAGTCCTTACATTGGTCCCTTACTTAAAATTTAAACTTTGTTATATTATAAATATTATAAAATATCACACTTTAAATTCAAAATCTATATGTATAGGTACTACATAGAAACTAAGCGGGTCACTTAGCTCTGTCAAAGTACAATATAAATGTGCCCATTTGAATATACTATTAAAAAGGAGACAATAAATAAACAATTAATCTATCTCGATCAACTAAAAATTAAATATAATAATCAATTTCTTTTGTTATGAAGTAAAAGGCACTGTTCGTATGGGGGGCGCAGGCGCAAGCAGCGGCGTGGAAGCGCGAGGGGGAGGACCGCGCTGCATTACGCCCCACCGGCGACCGTTCCACACGGCAATTGTATAAACACGTTTTATATTAGCATATCCAACTTATGTCTTTATTTATACATGTTATCAACGTATGATACTACGGCAGTTTGGCAAACGAATATTCGAATTTCTGTCATTTTTTGCACGTATTCGACGTTCGTTGAGTGCCAAAGCGAGAAGACCCTAAGAGTGCGGCACGGGTACGAAAAAAACAATCACCATAAAACCTCAAACAGGTTTAGCTCGCTGCCAGCCCTCTTCGATTAACGCAAAACGAAAAAACCGTTCGCAGACGAGCCGCTACTAAAAGCAACGCGTCGGTGGTTTTCAAATAGGCCACAGATGATTGCAACCGCTTGTGCTAGTGAGGTTGCGATTAACGTATTATACACGCCGTGACGCAAATGGCAACTTTTGGGTAATGGAAAATTCAGACGCATGACAGAAAACGTTAAATTTAATTAATATGAATGTATCATAGCTTGCCGAACTCCCGAAGTAGTTCTCAACTGATTCAGCCCGATAGAACTAAAGGTAGAAAACTAATTTCATTTTATCTGAGCAATATCAGTTGAGCCATTTTTAAAACTCTTCAAAACGAGCCACGTCCCGTCGACGCGGGCCCCGTCCGAATGCGGTGCGGCATCGCAACTGCTAGCTACAAAATAATTATTACAGTTAAAGAGACTCGAAATAAATAATAAATTATTATCTTAAATCCTTAAAAATAGATCACGAGCGCCTTCTCGCGGTACAATACCGAGCGCGGAAAGGCAGTAGAAATAAATAAATGTTCTATAAGCTAACTTTACAGAGACCACCGCTCGGCGGAGGATCGCTTCGGGAAGACTTCCGCGAGCTATGCAATAAATATCTAATAACACAAGATCCCATTAATTACAAGTGCGTGCCAATAACTAAAGATGTACATGTAAACACTATAATCACACCGCAGACTTTCGAGACGCCAGTAAATACTTCTTTAACTTTATAAATTACAGGGCGAAGTAGTTAAGGGGCATCGACAAACTGGAGATCATTCGTTGAGCAGGTGTGTTGGTGCGGCTGATGAGCGAGGCACGAAGCGCGGCAACCGGGACGGCCCACGGGCACGATTTGGAAGACGTTGAATAGGCACTATGGTGACAGACGATTCTTATGCTAGGATGGTATAAGTTAACTTAAGACTAGTCTAACCACAAGACCCTAGGCAATAACGAGGTCACCGAATGCCGAGGAAAGCCGATTGAACACTGGCAGTCGCTCATCTTCCGGGTCAGGTGAATGAGTACGAAGGAAGGCAAACGCTGGAGTGTGCGCAGGTGGAGAAAGTGCCGGCGGAGAATGAGGGGCCAGCGGTGATTGGGGTGCGAGTGGAGACTGTGGTGAATGAGGAGAATGCGGTGAGCGTGGGGATCGAGATCCATCACTCATGTAGGACGCGAGCGATCCTCCGGACGATAGCGATGCGACAGAGCCACCTGGGGAAGGTGGTTCACGGCGTCGCGCTTCTTCCGCGTTGTGTACAAAGTGGCATCGCGGGCCATAGGGACAGAAACCGACAGAGTGGAAGGTGCGGCATAGTTCAGTCTTATATTTAGGGTGACGTTGAAGGTTTCGTAATTCACGCATTCCATGTGCGAACTGGCACTTGTCTCCATATTTGCATACTCCGGCCTCCTCGAATGGTCGACAAAGCTCAGTTTTGTAACGGCTGGTGGCGGTCGGTGGCGGTGCAGGTTCGCTGGTAGTACGTTCGAGTCGTCGGTGGTGCACCAAGCGGTCTATCAGCCCAGCGAGAGCACGGTGCGCAGGAACGGAAGCAGCGCGGGTAAGAGCGGGGTGTTCCCAATTCACGCCATTGGGTACTGCTCCAGCATTTATAGGACCGACAGTACCATTCATCGTCTGCACTGGTCGAGTTTGGTTCTGAAATAGATAAATAACATATAATTAGGAACATTTATTTGTTTTATTTTTATTATGTTACAGTTATTATTTTATACATTAAAAAGCCAGTCAAGTGTGAGTCGGACACACGCAAGGAGGATTCCGTACAAAATCAACTTTAATTTTTTTGTGAAATAACTATAAATTTAAGGGTTCCGTTTTTCCTATGGAGGTATGTGGAGGTATGGAACCCTAAAAATACTTTATTTTATTATATTAGTAATCTATTATTTTACGAACACTAAGTAAACTACGGTGTTGTGTCGTATCAAGAAGTAAAGAGACTCGCAGAAAATCGTGAGTGGCAAGAGCTCTACTGACAAGAGCGCAGCTCTTAAATAGGGTAGATAGAAGTTAACTACGATCAAGACTAGTTATATTCATAGGTCTGTACTTGATTGAATTCTTGTCACTTACGTTATGAAAAAATAATTGTTAAATAATTAAATTCCAATAAATTTTAAAATTTTCAAGATTTATGTCAAATAACGAATTACGAATTTCATAACAGAAAATTTATGTTTTGCATCTGCATTTCACAACAATCCTGAATGTTCTATATAAAAACTGTATGAGTATACAATTGGCCCGACGGGTCCAGATACCTGCACAATGTTAACAAAAAAGGGTCCCAGAAAGGTTCGCTTCGGCGTCTACCTGCTCGTGTTCATCTCGTTTTCACGAATGGTTTCTATTTTACGTTAAACACTCTAATAATCCAAAATTAAATGAACATTAAAATAGCCATTTTTAAATCCCGAAGTGACTTGAATTTTAATAGTTATCTTAGATTTATAACAACCTCATTTCTTTGGAATTCTATTATGAATTGATTTCGGTAAAAACCCCAGTATGCTCATCAATATTATGTGCTAGATCACATTCCCCGTTCTAGTGTCTCATTGTGAATTGAGATGCAAATGTTTGAACTGCCTTTTGTTTTTATGGAGCGTCGAACCTCACAAACCTGACGCTACAAGGCATCACCATAACAATGCTGGCGTTCACGCGGAGGCATTTGACACGAGCGCGTGTCGCGGCCACAATCGCGGTGATTGTGCACTATTGTTCAGATGTCGCCTGTCGCGTCGCCGCATGTGGAATTATTGTCGTTGGGCCATTCGACGGCATTACCTAGTCGTCGTTCGTGCCTTATGTTAGGGGCAACGGTCGCCGCTTGTCGTGTTAGGTAACAGTACTACCATAGTGATCTATTCATAGTCTATTAGTTAGCAGTTTGAGCATCTGTATGTCTTTGTCATGTAAGCTACGTTCTCATTTGTCACTACTTAGTTATGAGAGTTTAGATGTCTGCTCCAGAATGATTTCCTCAATCAATAAATCTATATTTTCTTTGTTAATAAGTAACAACGATTTCGTAGTTTTGTATAGACAGTGTTTGACATTCCAAAGTTAATTGTGAAATTTTATAATATTACAATATTTTAACAGATTGGCGGTTGGGATGAGAACATCACGAAGGTCGGATCACAGATGAATGCTATATAGACGGAACACAGACTTTATACATAATGTATGATACGCCACATCTTGTATGCGGCCTCAATCGATGTGAATGACACGTCATTGTATATTCTATTCGCCTCTGCCTCGTCCGGAGATCGTAAATACGCAAACACTTGTGTTTTTGAATACAACGGACAAATTATTTTATTTGTTGAGCTCATCATGCTCGACTTTTTAAACAGCAATATTATTAAAATTTGTCATATATATGCTATCTACCGTCTGTCCATTAAAACAGCATATACATATAGTAGCTGCTTTGTAGTACGTTCGTTATTCAATAACAAATTATTATCAGTTGAAAGTGTGTTATTTAATTATTCAATGTATATAGATTTATGTATAGTTAATAGTAAATAACAGGTAAATACACACTATCGCCTTTAGCGATGACTTAAGTAGCTATTGTTTTCGTTTTGTGTATAACAGCTGAAGAAGGTAGAGGTTTCTCCGAGACGTCCTTCAACAGATATTGTTCTGCGCTCGAATAAACGAACAAACAAACAGAAAAACATCGTGAATGAGCAGATCTTACAAAACCTTTGTATCTATGTCCAATAATTACATTACATCCATATAGTAAGGACATCTTTACCGAATCGTGTATTGGTAACTTAAGGAATGAAAACCGTATTTTTTTTGGTTTGATTTTCATGTGGACCCCAGAAACATTAAAATATTTCAAGATCAACCTTGACTATTTGACTAATTGAACGTCATAGACTAGTTAATGAGATGGTCAAATGTGTAAAGAAAATCACCATTATGTATATTGTTAACTTGGTCGTGTTATCTACAGTGTTACGATCATGTTACCAACCGCTACTCTAATTGGAATAAGGTTCTTTATAAAGACGAGACGCACAACCATAAAGTGTTCTATTATAATTAGTTAATTATACTTTATGTTTAGTAAAACAATATGTTGATGGTACAATATTAAAAGCGAAAGTGTAGCAAACAAATGAGCGTGGCGGTGCAATGTCGGGTGAAATGTTGAAGTGAAAAGCCAGGGGTTAACGTGGTGGTCGCCAAGTGTCGAAGGAAAACGGCCGACTCGTAATTAGAGAGTTATCAGAGCAGAACATTGGTTAAACGCTGCTTTCCATCGGACGTTGCGCCTGCGCAATCGAGCTCCAGGGAAAATTGTAATCACTGTCGATTTCAAATGGCCGCGGTAGTTGCATTCGAAACTGAATCCAATCGCACGCAGCGCCACTGTATTTGTGCGCAACACACCTCGCAAAACACGATCCAGACTGTTTGTTATAATAACGTATGTTTAACTGTAGCATCGACATCAACAGCTCGTACTTTACAGGGCAACAAACTAATCGGTACCGCGGCAACGGCGGTGTGTTTACTAAATACAAATTTGAGTAAACTTTGAGCTGGTGCAAGTAACATTTCCAAAGAGATAGGCACAAGTCACACCTCGTGTGTCACTGTATACTTTGTGGTTAGCGGGTTATGCTGTCAATGCGACAAACACGCTCCACGCTCCACGAGCCAATATGTTTGTGTTTTCTATTATATGAGCGCAGTAACAGCGGAGACGTTGAATCCACGGCCATGGCTAGTCACTTCAATAAACCAAAAAACATACGATACATTTACTAACACCTGTTAACTACACTGTCATATAATATTGCAGTAAGTACTAGAACGTAGAATTGCAAATAATTCATCATTTTTTTATGGTAAATTAATAATATTCGGTTATCTGATAGTTTCCAAAATAAAATGTATTAAAGGCACTTCAGCAACTAAAACAGCTAAAATTGTCAATATAACTTCAATCATTGTCTTAGTGAATCCTTGAAATATTTTTTTTTTGTTTTATGTTAATTGTCGACATATTTTATTACAAATTTTGCAGCAATAAAATGCTTAAATAGTGACAAAAATTTCTTAAATCATATCTAAGTAATCTAATCTAAGAGTAAACATTAGTGAAACCATTCGAAGGTTTATATGAACAAATAGAGGGCAACGACTTGCCTGCTAATGAAAACAAATGTTACCTTTGTAACATGCGCTGAAACGTGGTTGGTGGCGCAGAATACGAATGTGAAGTGCTGTCGTTAATATAATGAGACGGGGTAACAGCAGCGTAATACAAGTGTGCTAGTGCTAGAACGTTAAATATATGAAAGATTATTGACCTTTCTGAAAACATAGTTGTATTTACATTCGCAATTAGGGAAAATTTACACGTTAAAACGTTGTTGGCTCGTTGGTGTCAGAGCTCGAAGACCTGCTAAAAATATACTTTTTTCAGATAACCTCCGAGGCCAACGGCATCGTACTTAACAAAGAACGCCGATTTGGGTTATGAATTTTCAGTATGTTTCGACCAACAAACATTTGGAATTTTACAATTTAAAAGAATTCCGCAGTAATATTTTTGTCTTGTGGCTTGCATATTTATTCAGGACAAGTGATAGATTAATCTACGAATTTAGCAAAAAGGTTTTGGAATAGTTAAATCATAAAAGTGAATTAAATTAACAAACTTTTATAATAAACACAAGTTTATTGTTTGTTAAATGTTGAAAATAAAAAGAATATTATTACCTACACATTTATCTTTAAAGAATTTGAGCGTAAAAATGGTAATGATGTAAACAAATTCTTTTAGTGTAATTTATTTTAGCTATATTTTTATAGTTGGTGGCATACAAGATAACAAAGCTAGCATGTACGAGTATTCGAATCATAAAGACTGCCTCGCAACAATTGATGCTGCGACGTACTCGTAATTCAAACAAGAGAACTGCTTAATTGACCGTTAATTGGTTCTAATCAAATGCGTTCTATATTTAAATGAACTTTTAACGATTTAAAATGACTTTTGCTTTTTCCCATCGTTCAGTTTGTTTTTAATAATATAGCAAATTAGCAAAGTATTAAACTTTTTTATATTTATTTTACCAAGCTGCAAGTGTATATTTATGCAATTGATTTTATATTTATTGGTTAAATTAAAACAAGAAAAATACATTAATTTAATTTCAGGTTTAATGTTTTTCAGTTGAGTGGTACTTTATATATTTGTAAGTAATTTAAATATAAAATATATTTTATATATGTAACCATGAATTATAATACCTGTAATAACGTACCTACGACGAGTACGTAACTATGGAAAATTAGTGTTAAAACCATTAATATAATCTAAATGTCATGTAAATATATGTTTTGTCTTCAAGGTTACCAATGATTCAACCGCCTATACTATTGTACTTGAGTATTATATTTATTTAAACAATAATATATATTGTTGCGAATTAATGATGTTATTTGTAGATATTTATTCATTGGTTACATGGTTAGGGTATGGAAAATGAGGTCCAAAATTGTATCTTGTATTACGACTTAATGTGAAGAAATTACTCCCATTTCTCTGAGGAGTCTGCCGAGGGTCCTGTCGATTGTTACCATCACGTTTATTGAATGATTGCGCGAAAATAACCAACTCCAAGATGGTGCCGAGTGGTCCCCCTTTTATGGTCTCACCAATGATAGCAATATAGTTATTAACCTTTTAGTGTTTCGCGTCATCTCCACATTGTCTTATGAATAACGTTTATTTTTATTCTGTATATAGTGTTGGACTGCAATTTATTTTGGATGTTACTTATATAAATTTTACTAATAAACGCGAAAGTTAGTCCGTTTGCAGTTTTGATTGTTATATAACTCAATAGATTGATTTCAATGGCATTTATTTAACAAAAAAAAAAAAAAATACTCCGCGGTATTTCCTAGTATGACAAATTTCCAAACGTTCCTTGATTCATCTATATTAACCGTATTTACAACATTGGTTACAATTATTTTGAAAAATTTTACATAAATTTGAAAACCGCAAAATTTGTTGATTCTTGTCCCAATTCAATGAGCCGTACAATGTTAACACTTAGTTTAGAAATGTTTAGTTTTTCAAATATCTAAAAAGATATGCCCACGATTACAATGCCTTAAGGGATAGTCGGAGGAATTGTCAATTATTAGTGTTGGCGAATTACGATTGTTCAAAATGTTTAATATAATAATGTGTGATTTTAATTGTATTTTTTAGTTTAAAATAACTGAAATGCTATTAAAGCAAGCCAAAAAGGAACTTTAAATATTATACTTTGCTACAATTCTTTATAGACGAAACCATATTCTGTCTATATATAAAATATAAAACCAAACTACATATATGATTCATAAGTTGACAGCTGTCGACCACCTATGTTGCACATTTATTATTATGACGATATACGCATTTACTAGAATTCTACGCAATAAGTAAACGCTCCTTGTTTACGAGTACTAGTATCCTATTTAATTGGTGGATTTAAGGATATTTTTTCTTCTCTTTAATTCGTATGTGTATCCAGAGATAATTTCTCTTCCTTTTTAATTCGCATGAAGATTCAAGACTAATTATCTCTCCTTATGGAGCAACACTAATAATAGATAAAAACAGTATTTATTTATTTACACTTTGTTGCACCATTTATAAAATAGTAAATACATTTAAATAGTACCTAATATAAATGAATCTTCACTATCAATTTGGAATAACGAAATTACATAATTATAGCGCAATACTCTCCCGCTGAGTGTGGCGATGTTACAAATACGGGTAGTAACACATGTGTACAACACAAATGTCATTTGATAGTAATTAAATAGCATGGGAGTAATAAACTAAGCCCAAATTAATTACTATTACTTAAGAAACGCACATTTTAAATATAGAAGTATTATTATTATTTTTGTTTTTATGATTTAGGATGTCCGTCAACCAAAGGACCGTCTTTTAGTTTCCAATTTTCATAACTGGTTTCTTTTAACAAAACACTAAAGTCAAAGAGGGTTTTTATATGAGATGAATAAAATATTAACCAAAAACAATTAGTACAAAAACAGTAATGATCACGATTAATGATTAGTCATCTACTTCTCAATAGTCAAACTACATAGGAGTCACAGAACCCTATGAACCCTATAACTAGTACGTTCTTTAACATTTACACCAATGTCTATATCATTAACACGAAATACATATATACACATACGTATCTGTCATGCCTGTCTCCCCTTAGGGTAGGCAGAAACAATGGAACGCCAAATGCTTCGATTCAAACAAACCTCGACATAATATGATAATAATTGTATATTTCTCTAGTTACCACCTTGAAGTGGGCATATGAGTGTATGGCAAATGTTCACACAGTTAGCAACTGTTGGATGAGTAAGACCGGACGCGCGGTATACGGTTCGCATGTAGATGGGCATATACAGCGTGTTCGCAATGCGAGAACTGCGTTTCTATGGTATAAATACCGTCACATATTAACTGAATCATTATTTGGAATTTAAATAAGATGAAGCTATTATTATTTAAGGAAAAATAGATAGGCACGTACGCAATAAATTCAATAGATTGGTATTATTAATCTAGCATGACAGTTAACATAAGAACACTCTCTCCATCATTTACATCTAAATAAATAAATATAAATAGGTAATAGATTCATGTCTGTAGTAAAAAATCTGGGTAGTCAAGAGCATTTTGGCAATTATTGTAATTGTTTTATATGTACTTATCAAAATTGTTTATTAAATCAAAATAATTGGTTTAGTCATAAAATAAGCTGTTTATTTTTTGGTTAAAACACTCTTAAATTATTTTATCTCGGTAACGATTGAGATTTTGCGTTACTAAACTATAAGGCTACAAGTTTTCCGCAATTTAATATTTAATTTATTTTAAATTTACATACATACTCTCATAACCCTTAAGAGTTAAATTTTTAGGGAAATACATAAAATTAAAAAATATTGGATTTTAAGAATATAAAACTAGCAATTTTTTAATTACTTTTTGGCTTTTTGACTCCATTATGTTATGTCAGAAATATAAAGTGAAGCAGGCGCACACTGCAACAACCACGGTACCAGTCCAGTCAGGTTTATTGCGTACGCATACAAGGCGACGCGACGGTGACGAGGTGGAGCGGTCGTAAAGCGAGTGTCAACAAAGGGCTTCGTTCAATTCGAGCGTGTTTACCCCTCAGCCGCTCAAAGCGGAGGAAGCACGTCCCCCGGTCGGGCCGCTTTTAGCACCTCCTTATTTATAGATGCAACAACAGAACGCTGCCCCGAGGTCGATTTGCAGAACAGAAAAGGTAAACAATGTTGCTCACGGTGGTGGTAGTCAACAGCAAGGACGACGACACTTCGTTGCCATTGTTTGTATTTAATATTTCTGGTACCTACTAGTTAAATACATTAATACATACTTTAACGTAACGTACATTAAAGTAGGTGTAATGTGTTTGACTTGAATGTATAGGACTGAAATTATGTCTTTTTTATGACGTCTGGTTGCATTTAAAATCATAAACGTGTTATGGATGTCGTGACAAGACCAGAGATCATCAGTGTGCAAGTCTGGTAGTTTGTGATGATGCGTTGCTCAAACTTGTGCCCTTTACGTCAATCGTCGTGTACGCCGGGCGCAACAGTTCCTTTGTCCGTGCAATTTTATTGTTGCGTCACACTCACTACCGCGTTATACTTTCCCCACAAATTATGATGAGTCACACAATGATGATAAAGTGGAAAAACGTTTTCTATGACTAATAGCTGCTTTAGATCCATTGTTTTATTTTGTCAGATACTTATTCATTATGTGCATTAATAGAAAGGTATCATTGAGACATTGACAAATAAACTGGATCGGTATTGGTTTTGTAAAACAATTTAAACATTATCGTTAAGTAGAAGACAGTTCTGTACAGTGAATACTTAACTAATGACATGGTACCATTAGTAGCATACTCAGTAGTTATTTGGAACATTAACTTCTTTGTCTGTCTTGATAACATAGAGACCGGGCTGTCTACATTACAGACGGTAGACACTGTATTTGCTTCGAGGTCAGTGTCGAGCTCTCATTTACGTTTGTTTCATTTGATATCTATTACATAGTTATTATAGATTCATTGTTGATTAAAAAGACTTTTTCTTATTTTAATGATTAATAGTAATTATAAGTAGTAGTGCCCTGTTTAGTCTTCATAAGTATCTCTGCATATATTTCTTTGTTCTTTTCAATCAGTCAAACTGAATTCGAAGGGCATAATCATTCTCTAATATCTGATTTAATCTGGCGGTCGTTGCGTATATTAGTGATAGCATTAGCTGTTCAAATGTTATTTAACTTTAACAAAAACTGAAGTTGCCCTAACGAATAGAGTAAGTGTCATGAGCCCTCTGGTATTAAAACTGTTTTAAGGGTCTCTGTATATAGCTCGATTCGTTATCTATCTAAGAGGTTTTAAAAAAGGATGTATATGTATGTGACCTTCCTAACGTTAAGGAATTCCAGAAAAGATTAAAGACTAATAGGTTATCTATTTATCATCTATTATCTCAAATTTCAAGCCCTATCTAACGGCTATTATGTTCACATCTCTTTATATCATATATTTAGAATGTATTATGACTGACTGGCATGCTGAAGATATGTTTTTTGAGTGACTAGCTAAATTTTTGTAGCAATTGTTATGTAGACCCAGCAGTATTGACTGTGCGTTTATCAGTCAGTCAGTTAATTTGTCCTTAAATCTAATTAACTATACAATATAAAAGCATAAACAGATATAAAGCAACTTACGGAGGCCGTTATTCCACCATCGTATTCAGGTGTCAACTGCAAAAAAGAAAAAAATAATTATTATACAAGAGCTACGAATATCTATACTTATTGTTATATATATATACTTATTATACACATATATTCCATAAAAGAATATAATACTATACGTGACAATCATTATAAACAGGTCCCTATAAACTATTACGTAAGTAGCGTTAGCGTTATATTACAAAATAGGAATTATTATCCAAGCGCCCGTTTGCTCGTAACTGTCCGTGCCTAGATACAGTTGGAGATAGACAGCGCAAACATTTCGATCTAACACAAAACTGTATGTTCCATTACTGATATACTTTTTTTACTTACTGTGGTGTTATATATGTTCTATATCAAATCTTATTTAGTATATATGTATTACAAATATATTTAACAATATTAACTATTATATGTACCGATATAAAATGCATAATGAAGATGAAAACGATTCGATAACACTGCGATTAAACGATTTTAAAATCGACAGAATTCAAAAATGAGGAAACGATATTCTTCAACGGCATAAATGAGAATCGAACCGCTTTGATACCTAAGCTTTTTTAGATATTTCTGGTAAAACATTGACATGTACAGTACCTACATTTACTATTCATGCTGGAGATTGTTGGCACTTGATGCTAACATATAAAGATGTATACCTGTATGTATGTATGTATTAGTTGCGACATCTATTCCACTCTCAATCTGTGGTCGGTGCCCATAGCTACGCTCCGTGAGGTACTCACGACCGGTCCCCGTTGAAAGCGATAACGCTTCCTACAAGAAAGTAAAACCGTACTCCGCTAGCCGTCCGGAAAACTACGCAGAACAGATGTTACTGAACTGGCCGACGCTTACTTAGTACACCAATTCCAGAACCAATTAGTCTTTATTGCAAGTAATTACACGATTGAAGACGATTATTTAGCAGCTTTATTATGATTTGATATTACAGACAAGGATCGCCAATGTATAGTCAAATTGAGTAGTTTGGTTTTATAGGATAGATAAAATCAATAATGTAAAAGAAAGATTATTTAAATTGTAAACACCAAAAAATATAGCAAGAATAAATAGATATTGTATGTAATGGGTACACAATTTTATACATATAAATTGTAATGCCAATTTAGAATGATAAATAAATAATAGTTTTGAAATCGATTATGCCGTCCGCTGAATCTACAAAATGTGATTAGTATACGTAGGAGAAAATAACCTTCAAAGTGACAAGATTTGCTTTTGCATTGTTCTACAGTTTCGCCGCTTTTATCAAAATCACTACTTCGCGTGTTTCCTCCCTTGCAACTTGAAGAGTCACAAACTTCTTTAGATACAGAATGCAGCCAGTTCAGTCATAGCAGTGGGTAAAGAAAGAAATAAATAAACCTACAAATTGGAACACAGTATGCAAACATGCTGCTTGGTACAGCAGCGAGAGAACTGTCAAAAATGTGAAAATACAAATGTACTAGACATTTGTCATTTTGTACTGATAATGATTATAATTAAAAAATAAAAACGACGTTAGGAACGAATTACCATAAAAAATAAAGTACTAAAATAATAAACCACTCATGCTCTACGCCGTACTCAGTCTCTCGTCCTTTGTGGACACGATGTTAGTTTTCAGTTACACTAAGTTGTATAAGAGATGGTATCAGTTGTATCGTTAAAATTAAAGCACATACATCGTCATAGCTGAGTACTTACCACTGGTAATAGATAATAAACTACTAAAAAAGTCTGTTTAAAATTTATCTATTATAATTACGCAGATTGCGAGCGAAGCAGATTGTCATGTCGCTGACCGTACCCAATATTTGCGGGCGTCCTTCACCAGCAGAGATATAAAGCGATAATACCCACATTTTCCGCTTCTCGTTACCTAGTTACTGACTCTACGTTCATTTTGTACACAATTAACTACATCGTTAGTTGCACGTGGAAATTACTGACAACAATACGATATTACGCCACCGTGTTTAAACGTGCGGTGTCACGACCCGTGTTCATAATGGGAGAAGTGTTTCTAACGCAACCGGGTGATCTCTAATTGAACCCGGCAGCGCGCGAAGGTCTTGTGCGGATCACGAACTTTAACAACAGAATATTATCGACCAAAATAGATACGCTTCTAAAGGTAGATTTAGACCAAAAAAAAAAGCAATGAAGTCAGCTCGAGAGCTTGAACATGGAATTAGATAGGTTTAGATTAAAATAACACAAGAACCAACGTACGCTATAGTTTGAAAATGCAGTTGTGTAAATAAAGAAAGCTATTTTGAAATGATTTTAATTAACACAGAACACGTTTGAAAAAAATTGAAAAAAAAATGGGAGATTAGAAGAACGACAATTCGCTTGATTTGTATAAAAACACCTTTCACGGAATGCTAGCGATTATGTTGAAAAACTAGAATATTAATTACCATTTTATTAATTAGAATGCCATGTATTTACTTGTAACTGCTGTAACTGGTGAAATTTAACAAAATTATAACCAAATCATGTTGTTGCTGCTGCATATACTGTGATTTTCAATGTATTCCAGGAAAGGACAAATATTACAAATAAGGTCATTTTAGCTATTTAGGCGTTAAGAGAATAATGTTCGTAAAATAATTATAGACGAATTGGATCAATCATATTATATTCAATACATCTGTTAATTATTAACAAATAATTAAGAGATGTATTATAATAACAAATAAGTAAGAGTCAGTTGCAAAAAGCCCAAAAGCGGATAAATGTCAATTCTATTATAAAATAAAAACCCAAATTGAAAGTTATAAAATAATAATCTTGTAATCCACTATATTCTTGCTCTATTATTAGAGTTATATCTTCCAACTACTTGATTAGATATATAAGGACAAACAATTCGATTGACGATTATTCCAAACAAACCTTTGAAATAAAATTGTCGTCATATGAACTCGTAGTAGCGACTTCATAATTATGCACTACACACAATTTCGACATCATTATAGATTCTGTGACAATATGTTGTGTAAAAAGAAAATAATAAAATGATACATAATTTATCAAGACAACAATGACTTTTACCGCGAATTCCGCTTTAACCTTGTGAAATAAGTGTCTGACAATAGTCAATGTAGTATATAGTTTAAAATAGACCCGATTATCATACATACAAGTTAATGTATAACAAGTAGTTAGTTGTCATATAAACTTTAATTTCTATTTCCTAATTATTTTATAAGCTTTTAATGGTTCCTATTTGTTTCAACTTGTATGAATTCAACATATATATATGTATCATCTATAGCGCAGACTACGGCGTACGGCGCCTTGGTTTTGCGACGAATGGGCTCGATCAACGAAGCAATCGCGGCCACTTGTGCTAATGAAACACTTCAATTGAATTGGGGACATTAATTCAGCCTCACTGTTTACATTGATACCAAATAAAAGCAGTTTAACTATGTACATGGAAAATAACTAATGAAATAAACAGGGCACTTACTAATGATGTACTTGTCAGTATTAAAAAAAATAATACTTAGTGAAATTATATGGTTTGTTTGTTATTTTTTTTTAGAGATGAAGTCATGAATATGAATAAAGCCAATGAACTCGAAGCCCAACTCAAAAAAAACAAGGTCATAGTAATAAAAAAAGACTATATTGTATTGATTTTACATAACACGTTTACTGCTCATATACCTATTGAAACCATAGAATATAAATTGGGACTATATTGTATTTGATATAAGAGAATTAAATCTAAGACCGGTAATAGAAATGACATTGTAAATTGAACATACAGTAATCTTGTTCTCTCCAAATACTTGTTTGACGATCATTTTACTCCATCAACTCCATCATCCTTTCAACTGTTTCGTAGCGTCGCTGAAACACTTAATGAGTGACGCATCATTAATAATATCTTCGACTTTTCCTCGTTTTGAAGCATTGTTTACCATGTATACACTTTGTAAAAGAGTTTAAACATTGATAAAATGGATCTAGGTTTTATGTTCTTTTCTTTTCGTGTTCGTTTCTATATTTATCTGTCTATATCTTTACAAGACACTCACATATAGGTACACAACAACCTTTATCACTTTATAATTCTCTTGCTTTTATACTTAGCTGATCGTTAAATTAGAAATAATTTTAATAACAAAAAACTGCCTTTAACATTTAATTTGTTGCCTTATTGTCAGTTGACAGGATTACCTTGAGGCGATCGATTGCTTTGATAATGTTACCTATTTTTGCATAATTGCATATTTATTAGTAATATATAATCTAATAGAGTATAATTTTGTAATATAACTATATCCTTAATAATAAACAGATCTTTGTAATATTTTGAATTGAGAATATTATTGTACAGTCACTTATTGTTAGTCGTAATAATTGGAAACATTTGAAACATGAAACACTCCACTTCTATTATTATATATTATAGAGCTCATTTTACAATAAATATTTATAAACAACTCATGAAAATAACACTTTATCTGCCTTTCTGTGCAATTAAATTATTTACAACTAGTTCTTCAAATAACTCCCGGGAATGTTACAAATGTCTAAATATATTTCACATTTAGATTAATTTTAAAAATAGAAAAACGTCTGCAATAACCTTGGCTTTAGTTTTAAGAGTTTACCGGGCAACCGAATCTTAATTAATTACTTATAACTCGTTTGGTGAGTTTGAGCTTGCGTGTTAATTCTCCACACTACAGAATACTGTGTCAGGATATTGTAAGTTGTTCTGGCGTCACATGGCAATCCTATCAATAGACAAAATTTATCTATGTTTATCTACATATATGCTTATTTATATTATCATCATCAACACAGAAAAAGTGGTAAAATAAAAAAAAAATCCAAATTGGTTATAATCCAAACAACGTCAACGTCAAATATTAGAGGTTACCAAAATTAAGTCGGATCTTAGAATCTAATGTTTTTATTGGTAACGAACAAATTGCACGCAATCTTTGACCGTAAATATGCAATTAGTTTAATACAAGTTGGGG